GAACATGTCCGTAGCAAGCAGGCAGCAGTTAGGTGGAGAACTTGATATCATACCAGTGATCGGCAATGCTCGATTGCACTCGAGGGCCACGCGAAGTCAAAAGCGAGAGATTCAAGCAGTCTCGGATTTAAACCCCAATCTCAGTGCATACAGAAAAACATGAAGGAACCAACACTGGAGCGGCCACATCAACCCCCAAATTTGCATTAATTACGATGAATAGAATCTGCCACACACCAATTTGGTAACTTGCGCGTCACCACGAAACATGAATTTATGTCACAGAAATGAATTCCACCTCCGCAATAAAGTAGTAGGTGTGCTAGTACCAAAACGCGAATTACGAGAGACCTACAGAACACAGCAGCCCTCTTACCTTATCACCAATCCGCAAACTGAATTGCCCACTAATGAGTAGAAGGTTCAATGGATACATAAAATAAAGGGACATAGATGGAAGTACTTTTCTATCAATTTACCCAAAACTTTGATCTCACGACTAGTCCCAGGACCGAAGTGTCCTCATTCAGAAGAAGGTAACCCATTTTTCAGATTGGTTGGTTTTTAATCACGACTCCAGCTGAGGTAAAAGAAGAATCGATTATACGAGTGGAAGGTAAAATAGTGAAGGAAGAGGAATGAAAGTTTGTGAAGTTAGGAGAAATTGAGTGACAGATGAGTTACATCGACTTCGATATCAACGTGAGAAGTGAAGGGTGGACAATGCCACCTCTACACCCTTGCTTCCTCAACTCAGGCACACGTACGCCCGCACGCACACATGGCGAAAGTAGTAGTATTATACTGTAGTTGCATAGGGCGATGATTGGAAGATGTTCCAGCGACAATAGCAATGATTGTCGAGACCTACTTATGTGATGAGGATCCCAAAGGTGGTAGCAGTAGCAACGGTAGGAGGGTAAATGAATTGAGAGGTGAGGGGCGAGACTAGGCACATCGGATCGCTTCTTTCTCTTTCCTTCCTCCCCTTCGTAATGAACAAAACGCGGAAAGACTACAGCGAAACGGTAGACAGCAGTTGAGGGGCAGGAGGTGAGAACCGTTTCTCGTCCCCACTCTGCCTTTCTCTCTAGTGCTCCGTGTATGTCTATATGTATAAGGTGAATAATGATGGATATTCTCTGTACACGATGAAATAGACACACGTACACTAAATATTTACAAGAGGGAAAGAGTGCCTGGGTGGGTGAATGAGTAGGTGGTTGAGGAAGTGAGTCAGCCTAGACGAGCGGCGACGATGACAATAGTAACGGTAATAGCTGAGAGGAAGGCATCTGATAATGTAGAAGCAGACAGAGAACTAGGGTGTCGGAGCAACGCCTGATCGACTAGTAGGGACGTAGCCTCACCGCCTAGTCTCTCCGAGAGTTGTTGGTGCAGACACCGCTCTGTCAGACTGAAGTATTCTCTTTTGCCCTCTCTCTTTTGTCCCCCGTTTCTCCCCATTCTGCTAGTATGCCACATCCCCGTCTCTGCCCCAGCTACGGTGAAAAAGTCCGCTGCTGAGTGGTCCGCCGAAGACGGGTGAAAAGAAGAGCCGGCGAATGGGGAAACATCGTCCAAAATCACGTCAACCAGGAAGTCCTGCTCCGTAAAACAGCACTCAAACTCACAACCGGTGTAGTAACTAACCGAATGTGGGTTGTCCGACGGTGCGTACTGATAGTGACTTTCTGGAAAGACAAAGAATGAAATGCAATAAATTACTATTTCGCAATTCAATTCCTTTTTTTTACCAAACAAACAAAGAACGTCATATGAATGCCGTTAAAAATGCATATCAAAATCACTTCCTAACATTTTGGCTGTTGAAGCGGCGCAACGAAAATGGGTGACACGAATAATGCACATCTGGATGACTACATTTGCAAGTTTTCACCTCAAATGTACCACACTTCA